AAAAAAAAAAAAAAAAAAAAAAAAAAAAAAAAAAAAAAAAAAAAAAAAAAAAAAAAAAAAAAAAAAAAAAAAAAAAAAAAAAAAAAAAAAAAAACCACAGTTATAGTTGACAACAAACATTAAAATTAAAATGAATAAAAAAGAGAGAGAGAGAGAGCAAGAGATATCGAAGCAATTTACCAAAACAATAGACCAAGAAGGCATTAAACTCCAATAAAACGATCAACAACCAAAATAGTGCCACATTCTTTGTCACGTGAGGAGAAATCCTTGAATTTGAAAGCATTATTGTTGCTATAAATTAAGCAAATTGCTTAGTGCTGGCAGGAGTGGGAGACTGGGAGATATTTATATCACAATGATAGCTCATTAAAAACCATAAATATAAGTAATAAATTAACATTATTATTTACAATAAGGTTGATGAAACCTAGGACATAAATTTAATTTGAAGCCAGCTCGATGTAATTTCCTAGGTGGCCTGTAATTACAACATTAAAAATAAAGCAATTTTTTTTTTCTAATTTTTTTTAAAAACTATATATATAATAATAATAGAACAATGTACATTTTATTAATGGAGCTATATTGTCTGTCCGAGCATAATTTGGTTAATAAACATTGGATTAAAATATGAAAAATAAAAAAAAAAATTATATTGAAAGAAGCATAAAAATAATATATAAACAATGAGGGTAAAAGTATAAAGTTTTTATTTATATTTTTGAATTTTAAAATTATTTAACCTAATAAAAGATTTCACAAAATGTTTGTACAAAACAAGAGGCAGTTAGAGTTGGTCCTGGGCCGCGGGAGTACTGTATGGGCTCGGGCCAGACAAGTACTATATGGGCCTGGGCTGGATCCATATCGTATCCGTTAGAAACTGATAACGACATCGTTTCAATTCCTCGGCATCGCTGACTCTGTCCAATTGGCTTTGTTTGCCTCCTAATTCCAAAAAGAGTTTGCGCCATTTTCTGCAGAACACATAAACCCCGAAAGCCGAAAGGAGTTTCTCATGTGGGATTATCTTCTTCATCCATAGCCATTTTTCTTCTCCTTCGTCATCATTCTATTGCTAATTGATTTGCAAAAATCTTGATAGAGATAAGAAGAAATTTGAAATGTCGTGGCTGAGATTGGCAGTGAGCAAAGCAGTGGAGGTTGGGAACAACAACAATCTTACTCGGGTCGTCAAGAATTATGCCGACACCGTCGTTCACCACGCTGGTCAGGCCGTTGCTGAGGGTGCCAAGATTCTCCAAGATCGCATTGTACTTCCCCCGTTTCTATTTACTCTGCTTTTCTTATTGATTTTGTGTTGGTCTGGTGTCGTATTGAGCTGTGGTGAAATGCAGAAATGCAGGGTGTTTTATTTATTTATTTTTATTTTTTATAATCTCGTTTATTTTTGTGGATTTTTCTTCGCGTTCATATCTTCTTACGTTGATTTTCTTGGTCTGGCGTCGTTTTGAGCTGCGGTGGAATTTGGAAATGTTGGGATTGTTTCCTATAATCTCGTTTAGTGTTGTGAATTTGGAAATGCAAGCGTTAGATGAAATTTTACGCGGAGGCATTTAGAAATCTACTTGAATTTTGGAGATTCTTTTGCGAGAACACGAGGATGGGGTGAATTTCGGGTTCGTACCTGATGGAAAATAATAATTATGATATTTAAAACGGAGAAATGGAAAACAAGGCGCTGATTATCGATTTTGGGGGCTTCCCATGAATTTAAGTCGTACCCATTTGACGTTTCTGTCTTCCTAGAACTTTATTAAAGATCCATTTGATTCAATCTGATACCGAAAAAGTAACAACCATTTAGTTTTATTTTTCGCTTTAGGGTGCTGGCTTTGTTTCTGAGTATTGTTGGTTGGTTCAATAAGGGAATTGGGTATTTAATTATATACTTCAGTCATCTTTTTGGTTTTCAATTGATGTAGGGGGCACGTAACTTGAGAAGTATTAGGCAGACTATACAAAGATTGGAAGAAGCTTCTGTGTCCTGTGGGCGCCCTGAAAGAGCTCAGTTGTTGAGAAGTTGGTTGGTTGTGCTTGAAGAGGTAAAAAAATTATCTGATGTTCCATCCGAGGAGACAGCAAAGACCCTGGAGCAGCATCTTGCTTTTGAAGACGCAAAGGAAAGCCCAAGAAAGCCTGATGTTGTGAGTTAAAAGTTTTCATGAACACCTCCCCTCCAAGTATGTGATTAGCCGTACTTCATGGGCGTATATCATTCATAGTTTATTCATTTTTCAAAAACCATGGTGCATTTTCATGTACTTCATGGAGTGGATTTTTAAAATTGACATTAAAGTTATTTTGCACATTGATTTTACAATGTTATGGAGAGCTAGAAGGATATCTAGATGCCTATGGCTATGCGTTCTTTAGTGGTGTAGCAATTTGATACCTATGGCTATTGCTAGAAGGATATCTCTCTCTCTCATAAAAAAGAAAAAAAAAAAAAAACACAGTTGACCTTTATTTACAAGAGATTTTTAATTGACTTGTAATTTCAACAAACGACATCAAAATCAAAAAGGTTTCTGAGAGACTGGAAATTGTTTCCTCTCAGAAAGAAGAGGAGAAGAGGAAGGAAGAAAAAATTGAAAGAAAAATTTCTCAATGGCATAAAAGAAATTGTACAGAGCTATAGACGTTATTAAAATTAGAAGATGGAAATAGGTGATTAGCATTTTCTTGATACCATTGATAAGCATTTGAAATTTTGCAATATTTAAAAGTATTAAAATTTGAAAATACTATTCACAAGTAGTTAGTCTGTAAAGCTTTTTTCCTTCTGTGTTTATTTTGTTCTGACCTTTACCATCTTGAATAGGTTTTATATTATGAACCCGATGTTGGAGGGGAACCAATGAACTTCTATGATGTGTTTCTTCATAGTCAAGCTCTGGAGGGAATTACATTATCTATGGTATGTTAACTCGATGACAATATGATGTAGTTCATTAGTAGGAGGTTTCTGCATTTAGGTTTTGTTGAAAGATGAAGAACTTACTGGGCCCAAATTGAATGACCCGTTTTAGCTTTTGGTGAGTGGAACTCATACGAAAAGATGTGTGCTGTCATGATCAAACTTGTTGATGAATCAAATATATAATTAATTTGTTAAGACGAACTCTTGCATTGTAAAACAACCGTAATTTCTTTTTGTTATGAATGAGAGAAGGGTGACCGTTGCTTGATGGGTAGTTAGTTACAAGTATATTTTTTATAGGTGCCAAGATTTATATGCCTTTTGGACTTATCTTATTAAACAACAATGGTCGATATTGATGTTATACAAAGGTGGAGATATACTGCACATAGTACTTGTGTGAGGTGGAGATGTAAAAGTTATACTTTTGAGTGATGATGGAAACAAGCTTTAATTCCACCTTCTTGGATGTGATTGATGAATCAGTTAGCTTTACTGGATATGGAGGAAATGCACGCAAGTGAGACATCATATTTTGAATTGTTAAATTGTTATTTTTTAATTCACCGTTGTTTTCGATGTGTTCAGACCATGGGTCTGAATTTTTGGTGTCAAATTTTGTGTTTTTTAAATTGTCATGAAGGATATAACCAACAAATTAACTATTTTCTGTGCCACAGATTCTTGAAGCGCCAGATGAGGAAGAAGTGTCTCTTCTCCTGGACATGTTTGGGTCTGTCCCACACTTATGCTAACAGTATAGATCATAATTTCTGTGTGGAAGTACTAATTACTAAGAATCCAACAGATACACAGCTTCAAATTTTCCTTATGTTGATGTTTGTGAAGTTAAGGGGATTATTTTATTTTATTTTTAATAGTTCTTATCAGGAGGAGATAATTAGAGTTCTGTTTTTTTAATCACATTACGATGATGGACCCTCACCATCTTTATCTTTACTTTTCTTGGGCTCAAACTTTTGACCTTGATTTTGACTATTGGTTTCCAGTCAATTAGTCATCTGCTCTAGCCTCTTGTGCCTCTGTTCTAAACCCTCTTTGTTTTCTTTAATTTCAACTTGTTTGGTTTCTGATCGAGTATTAATATTTAACGAACAAATTTCTAATAATATCTCCTGCAGATTATGCCTTATAGGTGGGAAAGAAGTTCATAATGCAATAGTTAGCAGCATACAAGATCTGGCAAAATCTTTTTCCAACTACGAGGATGAAGTGTTGGTAAAGTTTTATTTAACATACATTGTAGCTATAAGTTGTAACTGATTACGAGTTTCACATGCTATAATCATCTTTATATGATTTCTACTGTGTGGATATATGAATTAGTAAGACAAACTTTTGCATTTTCCCATTCCACTTCTTTTCTTTGTGCGAAGTCTTACGGGAGATCTTAAATACAGGTGAAGCGGGAAGAATTGCTCCAATTTGCACAAAGTGCAATTTCAGGGTTGAAGATTAATGCTGATCTTGGGAGGTGGGTAAGAAATGAGTTATTTTGTTCTTTTCTTCTTGGTCTCCATTTCTACAACTTTTGTATGTGTGTGATTGTTATGTTATTTACTATCTCTGCTATACAGCAAGTACACTTATTTAATGGGCTATAAGCCGTAGGGATCAAGGGGTGACTTTAGCCTTCTTGTTTCATTTAAGAACAGGTTTCTTTTTGTTCGATTAATTTCTACGAGGGAGCCTTTCTGTGGTCTCCTTACCTTGTGGGAATGGCATCCAAAATCTTTTCAGCCGTTTCTTTTATGAATAAAATTTTGCCATATTGTGCTTCATATACAAAAAAAGAAAAAAAGAAAAAAAAAAGTGTCATCTAATTATTCCATCTGACCTCTACAGTCTACATTAAATCCTGTCCTGCCCACAGATAGTGTGCAAACTGAAGAAAAATGAGGAGCTGATTTCCACATTCAAAGATAATGTGATTTTGTTTTATGTTGTCTACCTTTTCTTTTCTTTATTTTATACTGCTGCGTGTTTGATATGTGCTCAATGATTTTCAGTTTCTCTTATCAAAAAAATAATTTTCAATTTGTATATGCATTTCCACAAGTAATGAAGAGGATAAAAAATGCCCTAGGCTGGGTACTAATTAGATGATTTTTAGGAATGGTACGCTGTCTCTTTATTTGAACTACACCCATCATCCTTACTTCTCCTGTTAAATGGTCAGAGTAAGCTAACATAATGGTCTTTTCTCTATTATTTGTTTTGCTTTCTGGCCACAGAGTAGATACTGAATTGTCCAATTTGAAGACAAAACTTGAAGGAATGTCGATGTCTTCAAATGCAGATTACGGCAATACATCAGAAGAAACCACTCTAGAAACAATTGAGGTCAGCCAGTTGATAAAGTTATTACTGTCAATTAATTTTATTGGAAACTATGAAACTTTTTGTTCCTGAAATTAAAAAAAAAAAACAAGTGAAAAAAAAAAACAAGTAAGCTCATCTGTGGCTAATAAAACACTTTAAGAGGCATGCCAAACATACTTTTGGTGTGGCTAATAAATATAGCTTGAATTCAATCTTGATGACTATCAGAGCAGTGACCGTTAGTTATCATATTGTTGATGAGTTGTTTATCTAATTAAAAATATCAAAAGTTTTATTAGGATATCCATACATTCATTGTCTCTAGTTGTACCGTATATTACTTCACCTTCCAACTAGCTATTATGAGACTGGAAGAGTCCAACTTACATGGTAAACGTTTGTTTCTCTGAAAAGTGATATCTTCACATTTTATACTATATAGTGTACTGAGTTACCACCTTAGAATATGATTTGTCAAGTAATGCTCTTTTATGAATTTGACGGACTGGGAAAAAACTATGCGACAGGCATTGAAAGCAGCACTTTCACACATACGAATTTGTTCTAGAGTAGATGAACTTCTGATGAAGAAGAAATTCTTAAACAACGGAGATTCTCCCGAAATCCATGCTCAGAAGGTATTGTTCTGGAGATGTCTTGAACCTGCCGGTCTAAATTTTTATTTGTACTCATTGTACTTATGATGTCTACTTATACAGATTGATAAATTGAAAGTCTTGTCAGAGTCTCTTTCAAACTCCTGTGTGAAAGCTGAAAAGCACATTACAGATCATAGGTAAAGATCCCAGTTTCCTAAATGATATTGAACTAGAATTCATACGTTAGCTGTTTTTCCTTTGCTGATATGTGTTGATATTCTCTGTATTATCTGTTTAGGACTTTAATAAGAGAAATTGTTTATGGCTTATTGAACTCTTTTCCAACGTGAAACTAATAAATGGCTGTCTTCCTCTTTCTTTGAATGTATCTGTTTCTTGTTTAAAAAAATCACTGTGGTTGAAGGGTGTTTTGGGTTTCTTGTTAACAAAAATCAATAAGAGAAATACTTTTTTCCCCTTTTCAATTTGCAGATTGCAAAAAGAGGAAGCACTAAATGTTCGTCTGACCAAAGCAACTGAAACTGGTGAAAAAGAGAAGGTTAGGTTTTGTTTGGACTAGTGTTTAAAAATAGCTTCTGGTTTATTAAAAAATAAAAAAAGTTTTATTTTTGAATCTACAGCCTCTAGGAGGAGGTAGAAATGTCATATTGACAAAAATAGTTTTTCATTTTCGAGAAAATTTGTTCCACTGGATAAGTTTTAAAAGCTGATTTCAAAGCAAAAAAAATAAAAAAATAAAAAAATAAAAATAAATGAAAGGCAAAAGACAAATTATAAATATCTTCACCAACCAATTTAACAAATTCAAAATAATAGAAAATAATCATTGAAAATCAGATTGCTAAACAGTTTTTAAAAACAAAATTTGAAAATAATTCTCAACCTCATGTCAGGATCTTGGTGTCTTTGATCGACGAGGACCTACTTTGCAACGTTATTTTATTGTGTATGTTCAATCACATTTCATATCTGTTTTGAACTCTGTGTTACGTATGTGGTAGAGATGTAGGAACGGCACTTAATTACAACCATATATATTATTTTCAACTTTTGTAGATAGAAAACTTAAGTTTATTTTTTCAATTATTTACAGGAACTAAGTACAGAAATTGCAGAACTTGAAAGACAGAGAGATGATATTGAAGCTCAATTAAAAAAGGTTTTTCTCGTATTCCAACCCAGATCTCATGGTTTACCATGATATAATGAAGAAATGAGTTTCACTTTGTACTGCTCATTCACTGAACTTGTACATGATTTTTATGCAATAGTATTTTCATTGATATAGAGGTCATTCCAGTGCCCGAGATGCCCAAGATGCCTGTGGATTCTCATATAAATTTGTAAACTTGTAATGTTAGAAAGCTTATTTTCATGTGTTTTCTATCTTGATGTCTTTGATCCCTCGATTGAGAGGGTTCACTATGGTTTTGCCTTTATCAGACTTGATCTACTTTTCATTTCTATGGTTCCCTCAGTGGATACGTTTCAGGCTTTAGCCTCCGCCTCTATTTTCTTTTTCCTCGACTATGCTTATTGATAAATGGGTTAAAGAAAGAGGGGTTGAAATTTTATGTTTCTTCCACTTTCAATATACTTCTATAACTCTTAACATATGGTGTCACTATATGGCATAGGTTAACATATCCTTGGCTGCTGCACATGCACGCCTTCGAAATATGGTGGAAGAGAGAGATCAGTTTGAGGAGGCCAATAACAAGATTGTCGCACATTTAAAGACAAGGGTGCTTTTTTTTTTGTTTACTTTTGCTGTCTTGGTATGTTATTTTCATGTATGTTCTCATCTTTCTTTATCCATTACATGTTCTCTCTCAATGCTTTCAGGAAGATGAGCTGTTAAAATCCATTTCCTCGTGTAAGGCAGAATCAAATGTTTTGAATATGTGGATTAATTTTCTGGAAGATACGTGGAATATCCAATGCCTACATAGAGAAAATAAGGAGAAGGAGGTCAAGTATGTATTTTATTGCCGTGCTTGTTATTTTTCATCAATATTTATCGTTAGTATTAGAACTTTCCCAAGGGTTTTTTCTTGGAGTGCTCTAGTGAGGGAATATGCAAAAGATCATTGTACAATGTTTCTTCTCGCAATCAAGTTTTGTTACACTTAGACGCTTGCTTCTTTTCCTTCTAAAGCGATGCGTTGGAAAAACATGAAGGTTACTTTGTCAACTTGGCTATTGATCTTCTATCTTCTTATAAGGTATTCATAATATTATCTGAAGAATATATGTATCCTAAATGTAGAATGAATTATGATTTTTAATTTATAAATAAGCCCTGACCTCCCATATGTTCGAAACCTTGCATGGATCATCTGATATAGAAAGAGTTGGAGCCGTCAATCAGCCGTATTGAAAAATTTGTGGAAAATTTAAAGAATTTGAGGCAGAGGTAACCTTTTCCCTTTTGTTATCAAAATCCTATTTTGTCCCGAAGCAAGGTTTCTTATCTATCATGTCATTCTGGACAGGTCGGAAGAATCCATACTGGAAAATGACGAGTCAAAAGTTCTAAGCCCCACAAATAATCTTGAAAGGGAATATCTGGGTTATGAAGCTAAGGTATAAACTTTCCATTACACTTTCACAGATTCTGCTTGCTTAAAACATGGAATGGCAGCATAACTAGTTCTTATTTTACATTCGTAATAGTTTTTTTTTTGGGGGGGGGATAAGAATCATCTCATTGATGAGATGAAATTACAAAATTTGGGGGAATGAAAATCCCATGCCTAAGGAAGCTTACAAAAAAGTTTTCCAATTGGCAATACGAGCAGTCAAGCTATTATTACAAACAAAGGAGACAATTTACACCAATGCGGGCTAAATAGGTAAGAGATTATGAAAAAAAAACTATCAGAACACTTTCTTTATAATGGAAGATCTGCGAATTCCTTCCAAGCCATGTTGACCAATAGGAGGCCCGGAGAGATTGATTATTGGCTTTGTATATTCCACATTGCTTAACATGCTGGTTTTTGGTTGGTTTTCTGGTCGTCCTGCTTCTTGTGATACCTTGCTACCTTTGTCTCCGTCAGGCATTTATTAGGAACCTATCATAGGAAAAAGTTGAAAACAGCTGCACTTGGAAAAATATTTTCTTCTTTTGAGGAAGATTTACCTTTATCCAGTCACTTTCGAGTAGTATTTCTATCTATTACTTTTTTCTGTTAAAAATTTAAGCATAGCGACCAGTGTTTTGGAGAAGTTAATGAGAATCCTCGGAAGTGGGTGGGAAAGAGAAGTGATTCTCGCTTGGACAGGTGTGATGATGTGTCTAAATCTGTTCGTTAGGGAGGTCTGAATTCCATAACCTTCAGAGAAAATATTGGCTTCACATGCAAAGTTGAGAAGTCTTTGGAAATCCGTATCTCAGAGCATATCCCATATTTTCTTGGTTTTTTCCATTTTTTATTTGGAATAGGTTGTGTAAAGTAAGGGTGGAAAGATGATAATATATAATTTTTTTTAAAATATAAAATTTGCTCAAGGAGAATTAAAGAGGTCTGTTTTCATATATCCTTCGGCTTCCGTTCCTAGTTCCTTATTTTTTTTTCTCCTCGCAATTGGGCAAGTTTCTTCCGACTTTCTGGGGAGTTTTGTTCGTAATTTGTCTTGCTCTATTTGTTGGCTGAGCTCCTGATCCTTTCATAATAGAGGCAGGTTTGAATGTTTTTCCGGGCCTATTTTTGTGGATGGAAATAGAAGTATTCTAGATTTGTTCAAGATTGTTAGAATGTGCAGAATGCTGCACAGCTCTGCGATGCTTTTCTTTCGATTTCTACTCTTTGTTTTGAGATATTTCTCATTTTATTTATACATAGATAATTGGGACTGATATACATGACTTGTAAATTTTGAGCGGGTTCTCACATGGGGCTTGTTTTGCTGTGCACTCTCTGGTTTGTTTAGTATTTTCTTTACAAAAACTAATGAATGCTTTGTAAAAAAAATGTTCCCAGTTGAAATTATAGGACATTGCCTATAATTTTTCTGCCCAGTGTAAAGTTGACTTCATCATGGATGTTGAACATTTTTAACCTTAATTTCTTTTTTTGTTCTAGATCATTACTACCTTCAGTGTTGTGGATCACATGAAAGAGCAGTTTTTGGCTCAACAAGCTCAAGTTTCCAGGTAAGATCAGGAATGTAGTTTCAGTGACATGAATTCTATCCTAATACTGCTTCACATTTCATTATTACCCAAAAGTAACCCTTCTTTTTACCTCAATTCAGGAAGGAGGATTCTAGAGTTCAAGAATTGTTTGATGATATTGAAAAACTGCGGCAGAGTTTTGACTCTATCGAGAGACCCAATCTAGAAATCGAAACTCCGCCTCCAAGAGCAGAAAATGAATCTAGAGAGGAGGCGCAGAGTAGTGTTCCACAACCTTCGGCAGAAGACAGCAAGAACTCAAAAGTAGAAACTGGTAAGCAGCTGGAAGTACTACCTGCAGTGAATGCAGAACAGACAGTAGATGCTGCCGCTGAGCTAGCGAAGCTAGAATCAGAATTCGGGAAAGTGAGTCATGACTACTCAACAGAAGACATTGGTGAATGGGAATTCGACGAGCTGGAAAGGGAACTGAGGTCAGGTGACTCAAAGAACTAGCTCTATCATACACATATTATATGCTCCTCCTGAATGAATCAACCTAATTTATTATGAAGAAAGATCCCCCAAAACTCCAAGCTTGGATCATAATCTTTCCACTGTAATTGTTCTCTGTATATCTTGTGGTTTTTTAAGTTGTTCACTTGTATAAATTCTGAAACATATATGTTGTAATATAAAAGCCAATGAAGGGAAACAGTCAAATCAAGATGACCCTTTTGACATCCCTAAGGTAAGGGGTAGCCCATTTGATTAAAACATATACTCGTTACTAAGAGAAGTTTGAATCTCTATTTTCTAAGAAACAAGTGCTCTACTAAATGAGACCCCAATCTTTTCGGACAACAGATTAGTTGGTGTGGCCTTGGGTGATTTTTGTTGGACTTGGAATTATCTTTTGAAGGACATCATGATGGCTAATGGAGCTTCCATGCCTTTGCCTTCCAGGATAGGGCACAGAAAGTAGTGGGCTGAAAACTTGCCTGGCCCAAGTTTTTCTTGAAAGGGCAGCTTTGTTTTGCTAATAAGAACCCTAGCTTGATAAGAAAGGGTTTATTGTGACAATCCAGAACCCTTGGCCAATAAGAAGATAGCTTTTTTATCCTGATTTTCTGGGTAGTGGGTCTCTGAGATGGATGTCATTGGTGGCTCTTAGTTGTGGCCTTCCTCTCTCTTTCCCTCTCCAGAATTTCTGAATGCGTGTAGTTTCTGAAATCTAAAAGTTAAAAATTTATTGTTTATTTCAATAATATAGAACTGCAATTTGCAATAATCCTTTTCATTTATAAAATGAGTGACAACAAATTCTCTGTAACTAAGAGATAGATTGAGAATTTTTTTAGAGATTTTGATTAATGATATTCCTTATGATTTCAAATTAAGAACTTACCGATATTCGTAACGATTTAAAAATTATAAATTTTGAAATTCAAAATTTAAAATCAATCATATTACACAAACTCAGGTTTTATTGCTGATCCCTTTGTACAAACCCAACATAAATTACACAATCACGAGCTTCCCAACTCCAATCTTTTTATAATGGAGTTCAATACTATGCTTGTTAGCTACATTTGCAGAGCCCACAGAGTTTTCAGTTCCTGACAAATCTGAAGCTTCCTGTTTCACACTTCTTAAGCACATCACAGGTTGTGGAGTCCATGTTCACCCTCTGAGGCTAATTATATCAAACCTGTTTCCATTTCAGAAAGCATAAATTTAAACTAAGTTATCTTTGGAGAGTGAGAATTCATAGTAGAAACGAGGAGAATGTATTAAAAGAGATGACAAGGCAATTTGATCCCAACTTTTTCCTATTGCTTGAAATTTATAGGAGCAGGAGCAGTTTAAAAGTAGCCTTTGATATAAAACACATAAAACAAAAAAGAAAAGAGAAAAGAGAAAAGAGAAAAAAAGAAGGAAAAAGATTTGAGCACTCATCAATCGATGTAGTAAGATTGTTAAAAAGTAAAGCCACCCAGAAATTCGGCAGTAGAAAGAAATAAAACCAGACAAAAGTGCTTATGTTCTAGTTGAAAGTGGAGCTGTCTCCAATCATGTTTTTGTTTATTAATTTATGTCAAGGAAGTAGCATGCTGTTGGAGAACAGAAAAGCCTGGTTTTGGGGTATGGTTTGGCTCTTAAAACTGATCTTTGTCTGGAGAGCCACACAGCTCTTGAGAAAAATGGCTATACTAAGAACTTTCAGGTGCCTATTCTAAGAACTCTAGCTTAGCTTTTGGAAAGGAAACTTTGAAATAAAGTTCCATGTCTCAGCTAAGCTAATCCTTTTTGTTAACTGGTTCTTTAATAATGGTTGACAAATAATTTTACCCAGTTTCAGTGATTTGCAAGCAAAGTAAGCCCACATGAAAAGGATGCAAAATTTCACCATTTTAAATTCTTAATGGTTTTCTACATCACTAGAAAGAATGATACTAAAGAAAGAAACCAGACTATTTTAGTGCATTCTTTTGCAGCAAGCATAGTGGAACAATGAGAAATCAGGCATAAAGAAATCTAGTTCACTAAGTATTAAAAGAAAAAAAGAAAAAAAAAAAAAACTAATTCACTGAGGATTAATAAAATTGTGGTATGGGTCAATGCTGGTCCTGCAGGTTAGCTCTATTTATGTTCTAATTTCATCTTTGGAAGCATTACTAAAAGAGTGTCATTTATAAATTCCCTATACTTTTATCTCTATGGACCTGATATAAAGTCGAGCATCCTCAGGTGTAAAGGTGCTCCTGCCCTTGAACCACCTGATAAAGCATAGTTTCAGATCAGCAAAGATCAGCAATAGAGAGCGAGGGAGTTACTAGATATGGCTGTTGACATCCCATCTTATGATTCAGCAGATGATGACTATATAGATATGGAAATTGGTCCGTACTCCAACTTTCTCTGTCACTCCAAAAGCTCTCCGCGGCAATCCAGAGAGTTTGAGTTTCAAATGTCTTCGAATACTCGGGAAAGAGAGCCTACGACTTCTCCAGCTGACGAGCTCTTCTACAATGGGAAGCTTCTCCCACTTCATCGTCCCCCACGCCTGCAAATGGTAGAGAAACTCCTGCAGAAGTCTAGTTCTGATTATGATTACAGAATAGACATTTTTGAAGAATTTTACAGCACTCCATTTTCCACTGCTGTCAATTCACCTACTGCAACAAGTACTCCTTTAGAATCCTGCAACATTTCTCCTTCCGAATCTTGTCAGATTAGTAGGGAACTAAATACAGACGAATATCTTCTAGAGTATTCATCAGACACGAGCTATTTGAATGGTGAAAGTTCGAAAAAGTCTTGGACCAAAAAGCTTAAGCATTCTTCCCTTTGTCTCAAGCTGAAAGCTTCCAGAGCTTACATCAAATCTTTGTTCACCAAATCAGGTTGCTCAGAGGAGTCCACTGCAGCAGCTACAAAGATAGCAGATGAAGGATTAGCTTCAAAAGCCAATGAATGCTCAAAGAAGGGTGCTAAATTGGAAAAGAGAAAGCCATTGGGACAAATTCCAATCTCTATTGCCAATTTGAATAAGGAAAAAGGCAATATGGATCACAACAGAAGATCGTTCTCACTGGCCATTAAGAGACAACCAAATATCAAGCCATCATCTTCTGCAACGTTGCATCCCACTTCCTCTTCATGTCCAAACGATTCGAAAGGGTATTTTCAAAAGGTATGCGGTGGTATGAATTCAGAGTTTGAGAACTCAGTTCAGGGAGCCATTGCACACTGCAAGCAGTCTCAATCTCAGCAACCATTACATTCAAAGAAGACAGTTAGCGAAGTTGGGATTTACTTATTATCATCATCCACCCTGGCAGTTTCTGATGATCAGGAAATACCAGTAACTTTGCAGGGGCTGATAGAGATTGATAGAGAATGATAAGATATTAATGACATCTTTCTTCTTACAAGATTCCTACGTTGGGTATGCTATAACTAAAAGCAAAATATAGTTCATGGCTATCTGTAATTTGTACTGTTGGATACAACATGTAGGACTTAATGAAAATGCAACATAACATGCCTATCTCAACCAATTTCAGCAACTATTTCCAACGTTTTAACTACATAAACTCAAATCTCTAATACATAAAAAACCAAAGATGTTGTATTCAATCAACCAAATTCATAGACCCCATGCCGGAAAGAAGGAAGCCCCTGCTCCTCGAGCTATTCACTCGAATAAAAAATCCCATTATGCAGGGGGAGTTATCTGCTATTCAGGTTTGAAACATTAGGCAATCTATAGCTTGAAATTTTAAAGCCTAGAATCGGGATGCCTGTACTTGAATATATACAGGTTTAGGTCTCAGAAAATCCTATATTATACACTCTCGTGCTTTGTGCATTTCTACACACAAATCCCCGATGTTCGAAAAAGTAACGGAATATAGAATCTCATGCACTCTACATTGATCAACGTCGAACTCGGAAACAATTAAACCTAAAATCTCATTCGCGAAATTGACAGAATCATTCTCTGAGCTTTTCAATTAGCAGTTCAATCGAAACTAGAAGACAGCAATGCATGTTACTTAAAATTTTACCTGGATCAACAGACCGCAAAGTCGACGCTCAAAATTTGAATAATCGGCGGCAACAACATATAATCTGAAGAAATCTTGCGAAGAATCAATCAATTTAGAGCTCCATAATCACAGAAAAAATGAAGGACTCCGAACACTTAGATCGTTTAGATGTGCTAGCAAAACCAAATTAGTTAGGTCTTTCCAAGTTTAATGTTTCATGAGTCAAGTTATTTCAGTTCATCAACTGCCAAACCAACGGGATGAAAATCAAACCGCAAATTAATTAAAAATAAAGAAAAAAAAAATTCCTACGAACACTAAGTGAAAGATCTATGAAGAAATATATATATATATATTTTTTTTTTGCTGACCTGGAGAATGAAAAATGGATATATTATTTAGAAGGGAACTCTGAAATCTGAGTATATTCATTTTGTCCCACATCGCTAAGTCTCACGTTCTGGAGCGATTCCCATAGCTATAAAAGAAGCCACCCGGCACTGATTAATCCAACGGAGCCGTGCGGCGAATACAGAGCGAACTATTCTTTCGCCTTTTACTAAAGAATACCGTGTGTTCGCCGCTTACAGCGGCATACGCCTATTTTTGGAGGGGCCCATCTCAGGAGTGGTCCCCACACCATATTAAGTTTTAAATTTTATATTCTAAATTAGATAGTTTTATCAACTTTTAAGCTTTGGTTTGGTTATCAATGTTCTTGTACGGGTTTTTCTGAAGGTGGTTTCTCATGTCGATAGGATTTAAATTGAGTAATTTAATTAAACGAATTAAACTAACGTAACATGAAAAAACTAGAAATTTATTAAATTAAGATATTTTCCATTTAATTTCTTAATTTTTTTTGGTTAAAAGTCTTGAATAAGATCATGGATTGATCTACATATGAGAAAGCGGAGGGAAGTAAAAAAAAAATATGGTTTCAATATTTCCTTCTTATCTCAACAACTCTATGAAACAGCATTTAAAAGTGTCTTCTGCAAAATTCTGAGTGCTCAGACATTGGCTTCAAAGCTCACATGAAGAGAAAATGACCAAATAACCGTACCATATTATGATAAATAGCAAGATACGGTATCATTCAAGAACGATGAACGATAAAAACATCACATCATCTTTGAACCTGTTGCATACAAATGTTCGAGGGACTAAAAATAGTTGGGCAAC